GCCGAACGCCGAAAGCCGAACGCCGACTTAGGTGGTTTTGGTTCTGAGCAAGGACCAAGGATTTTAACAATAAAGAGATTTATCTAAAATGTTTATTTTGATGCACAAAAACATTTTATGATTTTGTAAAATAATTTTGACTCTTTGAGAACCGAGACTTGAATTGATTATCGGTTTTGATCACAAAAGACCGACTCGACTAAGTCTTCAAATCTTGATCTTGTCCTTGAGTCTTTTAGGTCTTGTTCCAAGCCATTCTTCACGCCTTGAGTTATTCAACGAAACTCTTCATATCCACGGCGGTTTGGCAATTATCAAAACCTGTCAGAAATGAACACGACCTTAGTTTAACGTATAAAGTGTGTTCCAACAATTTCCCCCTTTTTGATAATGGCAAACAAGACGGGGATATGCATAGGGTTTTGATCTTTTTGAAAAAAATTACCCCTAAAAAAATTCCCCCTTAATATATGCATAGCCCTTATCTTCCCCCTTTTGACATTAACAAAAAGATTGTTAACAACAAAAATCATAAAGATTTTTATTAATTAATTAAGGGAAATAGCAGAGTACATAACGAGAGTAAAAAAAGATAATAAAATAAGGAAGAGAAGAAAGTAGAGCTAGAGCTCTAGAAATCCGGGGAAAGATCATTGAGAAGTTGTTCTTCGTCAATGTCTTCTTCTTCTTCTTCATCTTCATCACCATCGCCATCATCATCATCATCATCATCATCATCATATTCTTCTTCTTCTTCTTCATTGTCCACCTCGTCATCTCTACCAACGTTTTGAGTCCCACTTGGTTCACCTCCGAAATTCGGTGGAGGAACGTAAGGGACCACTTGAGCGTACGGGTAATTGACAAAGTCAAAATACCCGTGAAGTTCACGGCTCAAGGTATTGACGTTGTGTGCCGTTTTGGAGACGTTGGTGTCAATCCGAGAGAGAGTGGCGGTTAAGGCTGCCATTTGCTCAGCGAGAGAAGGATTGGTCGACGTGGTGGCGGCTGAGGCAGTGGCTCTCAGTTGTCGGCGTGGACGAGGCTGTCGAAACGGAGTCTCGTCGGTGCCCGAGTGGAAAGAGGATTCATCAATCTCCCAATGCTTTGTCCCCTTTATCGTTGGCCCAACATCAGTTTTGATGTTGTATTCTTCAAGAATCGCCATGACAAGGAGGGCGTAGGGGAGCGGCCGGTTGTCGGAGGTGGCCGTGAACATGTAGGTCATCACAAATTTACACCAATTGAGATTGGCATTGTGAATCATCGCATGAATTGTCTTCGTGTCCTCCTGGGAGAGAGTGGTGTGATTGAACTTCCTGGGCTTGAGAATCCGTGTCAAAACATAAAAGATAAATTGAAACACGGGACTCATGGAAGCAATCGTAGGGCGCCGCTGTTGGGGAGTGGGTACGAAGTGTCGGATGCCCACTTCTTCCAAGAGAGCGGTCTCATTGAACCGCGCTCCTTCTTCTCCGGCGTAGAGCCCGAGATCCTGTCCGTCCCGACGAAGCCCGGTGAGGATTTGAATGTTCTCCTCATTCAAATAGATGTCCACCCCGTTGACGTTAGAGATCAATGCTCCGTCCTCATCCTTTTTCAAGTTCGAGTAGAAAGCTCGAACAAGAAAGGGTTGATAGTTGACCTTCTTGATGTAGAGGAGATCAAGGAAGTTTCCACGTTCGAGGATTGTTGGGAAAAATATTATAGATTTTGATGATGATTTATTTAAGAATGTAATAGGGACTTTAGGTCTCCCCCAATATTCAATGTAATTTTTCTTTTTAGAAATATTGTTAAAACCAAGTTCTTGAGTTTTCAATAAAACTGTGATATTTCTTTAAGCGTTTTGATGCCTGAAGACTTGATCAAATTCAGTGATATGAAAATTGGATATCTTAATCGGAAGTGTCAGAGACAAGTGAGGATTTCTCAATCAGATAAAAATCCTCAGATCTGGAAGACTACATAAGAACCGGATGTCTCGCTACAACCCGCTGAAGGCTAAGTCATTCAAATCGGAAGACTAGCGCGAATCTCCTTCTCACCCGGAAGTCTGAAAAAGACTCATCCGGATTTGTCAGCTAAGAATCGGAAGACTCACCAAAGACCGGAATTCTCAGAAAGCGGACAAGTGAGAAAAGGCTTAGAAAATCATCTAAGTCCTGAATGAAGAAATTCTACCCGTGGCAAGGAAAAATCAATCTCTTGATTTTCAACGGCTAGATTGAAGATAATTACGCTGATTCAAGAACAAATTACTCGAAGACAAAGTATGGGTCTCTAAAAATTAAAGAGCCTGCCCGGAATTCCTAAACAAGCACTAGAAGACAAACA